AATGTTGTATCATCTAACGATGGGGGATACTTTACATATTTATTTATGTTTGATTTATTCAAATGTGGGCTACGAAAGCAATGAGATGCATGCATTGATACTCTATGAAGTTGTTGAATCTATTACAAATAAGCCGTTTTATTCTATTTGGAGCTTTTTTCCCTCTAAACCATTGAGTTATTTAATAGGCAAATGTTACTATCCATTGACGCACTCCAGTGTTTTACGTGTGAATCCTTCTTTTTAAATTATTGATCTCGTAGCCTCTACCAATGGCAGAGATCAACGAACGCGCTTCCACATCTTCTCCTCCGGAGCCATCAACCCCAGCTCCAGGACCTGAAATCAAGCAGCTTGCAGATGTGATGTATGACAGAGTTGGGGCGTTCTTACAGTCGCAGATTCAAGGTGAGTGATCGGTAAGGGAATGTTGTTGAAATAGAGTTGTTGTCAAGAAAACGAGAGAGGTGGACGAACTTTTGATACATTCAAATCATTATTTAGGCAGTGTCGATGAATACAAACTTCTGGAGGATATGAACAGAACAACCGCACAACGTTACGTTGACATGAGAGTTGTGGCTGAGAAAATTGCTGAAAAGCTTTCCCGACTAACCAATAAATGTGAGTTCATACGGTTGTTATTAACTTCATGTAAGTAGTAATACCTGCAGACGAATCTTTGCGTCCTTATCTCCAACAGATTGATGAAATGGATGAAAGTACGAGAAAATTAGAGGAGGCGGCAAATGTTCTTGATCAGTACGTCACGGGATTAGGTATGCAGCATTTAAGGAATTTTTTTCTATCAATATACAGAGGGTTCCAAAACATGCCTACTGCTTGATCGTTAAATCTTCATTTTTACTCTTTTCTGTGTTTTAATGATTCTTGGAAAGGCTAGCTTGTACTTAGGGGCGTGATTGGATCTTGTGCCTTTGGTGATTGCGGTAAGATTATAGTGTAATTTTGTAAATTGCGCTGCCATTAAATAGTTACCTATTTTTGTGAAAATAATACGCTACCCATGCGTACCGAATATGATGTTAGCTTACTAATGGTAGGTCAATCTTAATAGCAATCGTTTCACCTATGTTCCAAAATCCTATCTTCATCTAAAGAGGTACATCTGTTTTTGGGTAGAAATCTAACTTCAAGCTAGCCCTTCACATGAAGTCAGTAAGAACTATGTAATATATTGAATTCAGTTATCATCGATCAGTCATTAGGTGCAATTTCTTGGAACTTTTCTAAATTTAAGTCTGTATTTGACCATAACATACATATGTTCCGTTTCCAACCTTTTTTTGGCTGTTGATTAGTCTCAAACTTTGCGTGGGATCATGTCAGGGTGGGACGGGTAGTGTAGGCGCTTTATTCAGTATTATTGTGTAATGACGTCGACTCACAATTGTTTTGCGCTGAAGGTCAATTTCTTCTAAAATCAGCTTGGCAATTAACATTTGTTATCGAACCATTTCCAAAAGATCATGTAAACTGTGGTTTTGTAAAGGCTCCTTGAAGCGGAGCGGTGCTTAATTGAATAAGCAACAGCCAAGCTTAGAGCACCTTGAAGAAAAGTAAATGCATCAAGGATTGTGTAGAGTCTGGTTCGCGTGCTTCATGTGCTAGCTCAGC